CTAATATTCCGGTGACTAGAATACATTCTTTCCAAAATGTTGAATCCCCAACCCAAGGGTCCCTCACACCTCGGCCTGACAGAGCATCTGGGATGATGTAAAGGAGCTTCTCACTTTGAGAGGTTGCTCCCACACTATTGCTGGTGAGACTCGATCCTTAATCATTATTCCCAAACTTTACCCTTATGACCAATTGAGTTGTCCATGCGGGCGAGTACTGGAATACATTAATTGCATGAATGGTTAGTTAGGGAGTGATGATAGAAAATATATATAACGTGGGTAGCTAGGACCAAAATTCTTATTTAAGCAATGGATTTAATGTAAAGGTGAGCATGCATGCGGCAGTAGTATATATGTAGAAGCTGATCTGATCGAACTCACATGCTGGATATGTATGTAGAGCTTAACTCGATCAATGTGAAATTTGTTGTCAGAAACACATTGGGTTCTGATTTTGGAATTTTTAGCTAATTCCAGTGAATGGTTGCCAAATTTTCCCATAATGTTTTCTTGCTTGCTTTTAATTATTATTATTATTATTTAATATCTCAAGTTTACTTCATGCGAGTCCATGAAACTATCTCCAAACTCAAAGTAAATTAAGGTGTGTTTACAAATCTAAAAAATGATTTCTGAAAATTATATATTTTCTAGGTTTCTCATATTTGGAAGAGCTTGGAAATTAAAGTCAAAAAATTTATTTTTCTGTCAAAGAAAAATAGTGTTGTTTTTGAAAAAAAATGACTTCCACCAAAATTTAGTGGAAGTCATTTTTCACAGACCACAGCTACATCAATGAGCATAACCTTGGTTTGGTTTTCCCGGGAAATCTTTTTTTTTTTTTAATTTATTTTTTATTTTTAATAAATAACATTATTGTAAATATTTTTATATTTTAAATAGAACAATTAAAATGTTTAATTATACAATTCTACTCATTTTTTCAGAAAATGCAACCAAACACTGAAATTGAAAATGTTTTCTGAAAAATTACTCATTTTTCAAAAAATATTTTTCAAAAGTTATTTTTCTAGTTTCCAATACACTCTTAAGCTATTTTGACTCTGTTTGGCAAAGCTTATTTAAGAGTTTATAGCTTATTTTAAGCTACTAATAAGCTATAAGCTCCGTTTAGTAATGTTCTCAAAATAAGCCCGTAGTTTAAAATAGGGAAAATGGCACTTCTTCCCCCTGTGTTATATGCTTATAGCATTTTTCCCCCCTGAGTTATTCATGCATTCACATTTGTCCCCTCAATTATTATAAAAGTGGTGATTTTTCCCCCTGATAATATTAAATGGACATTTCTACCCTTAAAACAAATATTTTATTTATTTCTCTTCTTCAACAAATTATTGCTTATACGTAGGGATGACTACGGTTCGATTCGAACTGAACCAAACACTATAGCAATCAAATTAAAAAATTTCGGTTATGATTCATAACATAACCCAATATTTGGGTTTCCGTTTATTAAAATCGTGAACTGGAAAAAAATGGATCCTGAACCGTGAACCGGAGGTTCAAATCAGAACAACAACTAGCAATAGCTTAAAATTAGAATTATAATATTTACAAATAGTGTATGTTTTTTTCCGCATTTATATTGACTCTCACATATAAGTATATATAATCGGGATTTGATTTTTATTTTGAACCGTCGGTTCACGATTTTGGATCCAATTTGAACGGTTGGTTCAAACTTTCTTTTAAAATTTTATTTTTTTATTTTTAAAATATTCTAAATTCAACACTTAATGTATTTTATTTTTTCAAATCGTGGTTGTAATTTGTTGGAGAAGAAAAATAAATGAAATATTTATTTTAAGGGTAAATATGTCCATTTAATATATCAGGGGGAAAAACTGCCACTTAAATAATTTAGGGGGAAAAAGTGCTATAAGTATATAATAAAGGGGGAAAAAGTGCCATTTTCCCTTTAAAATAAGAGCTTATTTTGGAATGCTACATTAAGTAGCGTTTCAAAATAAGCTAGTAGCTTCCTAACTTTTTTCCATCTTTGTCCTTATTGTTTTAAAGAAACTACATCATTTATCCTTCCCAATTAAAATGTTTTCTCTTTTCCTTTATCCAAAACTTTCATCGCAATTATTATTAGATGAAAGAGACTCGCAACAATATTACTACTTCATTATGGGATGCTAAGATTCAGTACCACTAACAAAATATAGTGTACACTCTGCAGATTAAATGTTTGAAATTAAAGAAGCAGAATTTTATTTTATTTTTTGGAAAACAGAGAAGCAGAATTTAGTTATAGTAGTATTTTTTTTATTTTGATTTTGACTTTATTTGGTCTATTTTTGTTCTCAGTTTTCAAAATATTTTATTCTTATGGGGTGTTTGGTTGTATAAAAAATATTTTTTATGGAATATATTTTTTTAAAAGAGAAGGAAAATTTTGTTTTATGTTGTTAAATTGGATGGAGAAAATTTTTCATTAGAAAATGAATTCCTTAGCAAAATGGTGGTATTTTGTTTTCCGCATGATATGCGAAGTAAAGATAACATGATTGAACAATTATACTCTCATAAAAGTTTCTTAATTACATAGGTGGTATTTATGTTTAATTTATTATCATTATTGTTGTTAAGGCCATATTGATCTTAATATTCATAATACCTTACCATTCTAAACCAACCAAACAATAGATAAAATTCATATTCCTAATAAATTTTTTCGACCAACCAAACAATGAAATCTATTTTTTTGATAATTTATTTTTCATTGAATTTTAATTTTATTCCTCTTTATAAATATTTTCTGCGAACTAAACCAGCTGTTAATGAAAAATATTTTTCAATTTCGACTAACATTAATTAGTTCATTTTTATATATATCTTTCTTATCTTTTTATTTTCTTTCCATTTTATTCTATCAGTAAGAAGCACTTGAAGGAAGTATTATTTGGATATTTAACATTGTAAAATACTTATATGTAATCACATTCTCTATTTTTAAATTTTACTCTTACACTTAAAATTTTGATATAAACACACTTATAGAGACTTACATAAAGAAAATAATTTATCAAAAATCGCTATATAAATTTGAAGGAGTAACATTTGGAAGTATATGTAGTATAATTTATTTTTTTTTAACATTTTCCAATTATTTGCGATTGATAATATAGCATAGGTTTAGGTCCCAATCTGACATAGCTAGCTAGATAGCTTATTCAGAAGATGTCCCATTATTATCATGCAAATTAAATGCTTGGAATTTAGGAAAGCCATCTTGCACCCACTGCCACCATTTATGTCTATCTTCATTGTGATGTTACTCTCTCTCTCTCTCTCTCTCTCTCTATATATATATATATATATATATATATATATATGAAAATGAGTCCCTCACACTGGGTGCATTCTAACCATTCTCCACTCTGCACACGTCATTTGGGAAGGTACAATTATTCACTTGATGGGCTTTGCTTCACCCACTCCCCAGTCCCCACCCCCTACCTTGCCAGAGGAACACTGATTTTGTGGTGAAAGGTCAAATCCTTTAGCCAACTTAAATAATATAGTACACCACAACTAATCTTATTATGTTAAGTAAAACCAGACCCTTAGGGTTAGTTTGGTTCACGGAATGTTAGATTACCTTAGGGAATGTTAGATTGCTAGGAATGTTAGATTGTTAGGAATGTTAGATTACTGGGAATGTTAGATTACTGTGTTTGGTAAAAACAAGGTTATGTAATATAAACCTGTTTGGTTGATGAATTATTGATTATGTTATAATGGTTATTTTATCTTAATACCCTCCTATTGCAAATCACCAAGAAAATGTTGGAGGTGATACAAAGGGCAAATAATGTAAAATGGTCAAGGGAATCCAAGATAACCTAAGATTGACAAGGGAATCACATTCCCTCATAAAAAGAAAAAAATCTGATGTGGAGGTGATATTAGATTCCAAGGGAATTTTGTATAACCTCAACCAAACAAAGGCATGTTATATAACTAACCTAATATAACCCTAGTTATCTAATATAACCCCAACCAAACGCCCCCTTAGGGTTGGGGTTCAGCCTTTTGGAAGAATGTTAAGTAAAACCAGTTGGTTATCGGGGTGAAGTTTGAAAAGAATGATCAGGGATCGAGTCTCACCAACGACAGTGTGAGAGCAACCTCTCAAAGTGAGGGACTCCTTGTACTTGTACGCAGTAAGCAAAGGTCTAGCCTCTGTGGTTTAACTGAGTTGCCATAATTTACATCTTCCCAGATGCTCTGACAGAAAATGGTTCATAATATATATAGAGAATGGTCAAATAAGTACCCTAAAAATGGCTGAGAAAATAACTTTTTTGAGTGTGTAATTAACTTTTTTTAAAATAGTTTGCGGCTTATTTGACCACTTTAATATATATATATATATATATATATATATATATATACACACACTTGTTAGACTCTTCGTAAATACACACAAGTTATTACATGAATACACACATATTAGATTGTGTACAATTCGTCCAATATAAATATATACGATTTATCTTATATATATCTGCGTAGTAGCTTATTTAAAAAGGGTCGAAACTCAACATGTAGATGCTAATGTTCCACTTTATCATTAGCCTATATTTTGGTGGAAACTATTATTATGAATACAAATACAAAAAGACAAAACAATCAATCAACTAGGGGAACAACAACAAACAGAAATTTGAAGATTATGTTAAACAAAAAGAAAAAATGCAAATTGTGGTGGAATGAATAAAAGTATTGAAGGGAGTGCAAGTTGTGGTGCAGTAACATGTGAGTCTAAATAGTAATAGGGGTTGGAGAGAGTATTCAATTTTCTGAACAACTACTATCATGTCAATCAGAGAGAAGTCACTTTTAACAGGCTAAAACTTGCCCCCCACAACATACATATATATTTGCAAATTAATAAATTAATTTTTTTTTTTTTTTGCAATATAATGGTTCCAACTTCCAATTCAAGGCAAGGGCACCATCCTTCTCTGATGTATTGACTATTGGCCCCAATAAGGCTCATATAAACCCCCTTTATAATGGGGTTTCCAGTTCCACACTTGGAAGCTGCCAACCACTCTCAACTCATCTTAATGGCTTCACTCACTCACTTCTCAACTTGCCTCAAGCTTGGATTCACTGTTGCCCTTCTCCTGTTTCTCCTTCCCATAACAGGTAATTACACCAATTAATGCCTCATCTCTTCATTTCTATATTCCCCTATATTATGAATAGTATATATAGGCCATTTATATATATCTAACCCTTCTAACCTCACTACACCCAGAGGGGTCGGTGAAAGGTCAAATCTAGCACCAGGTGTTTAAGATAATTGTTAGCGGAGGCAAGGTTAAGTCTCGAAAATAATAAAATTGCGTCTTTACTGCTCGTTATAGCTTTTGGCGCAATGGTAATAACGGGTTTATTTGGGATAATAATTATATGTTTGTCAGTATTTTAGTTCTTTAAATGAGAGTTTGCATTTGTTATTAACAACTTTCTTGGGTTTCAGTGGTGCTCTTAGGTTTCAGTGTTAGACTTCATGAGACATAAGAGGTTAACCATACAATTTATTTATTGCATATTATAATCTGTGCTTCTGGTTTTGTTTGCTGTAATAAGCTGTAAAGATATTACCATTATTAGAATCTATATATCTACACAGTGATATTATATTCCATATATATATTAGGCTGTGAAGATGGAGTAAAAATTTTTGTTTTGACAGAGTGTTTAGAGGAAACAGTAATTTCAAGAGGGGTAAAAGTGGGATCAAGGCCACCAAGGTGTACGGTGGATAAGTGCCTGAATTGCAGACCATGCATGGCTACCCTTGTGGCTCCTTCTCATCAAAGGAAATACCCTTTAGCTTCTTATGAAAACTACTATCTTCTAGCTTGGAAATGCAAGTGTGGGGATAAGGTTTTCCCACCTTAGTTAGATTTTTTTTTTTTTTTTTTTTTTTTTTTTTGAAAGGCACCTTAATTAGTTAGTAAATGGACTTTATGTAAATGAGCTGATGAGGATTTCTAAACTTGTATATGTATAATTCATTGCTGACTTCTTATATTTATCAAATGACAAAAAATCTTCATTGCCTCTCAAATGTCTTGATTTATTGGAGCATTAAAAGAACAATTTGTGGCTTGTTCATTTTTAAAAAAATTTATCAGCTCATGTCACATCAATGCAATCTAATAAAAATAAGAAAGGTATATGCATAATATTCCTCAAACTAAGAGCAATCTCAATATATAGTTGTAGATTTAATTTTGTGGGTTTTTTGCTGGCCATATAGGAGAGAGAAGCAAGTGAGAAGATGAAAAATGGGAGAAAAAAAAAAGGGAAATAATAAATTCGAACAAAAAAAGATAATAATAAAACTAAAGGCATTATGTACCATGCACGCGCCTTCTAGGTGCATAGATTGCTGCACGTGGCAAGTTTTCCCTTTTTTCCTAAAGGTAAACCTCACTCAAAAATTATATTTGAAGGTAAAAAAATCTAACCAAAAAATTCTCTATTTCTGATTAGATAAAAATCAATTCCTAATAATTTTTTCTTCCTCAAAAATTGAGCAAAAGGTTACTCTAACAAATATTGGGTTTGGGGTTTGACTTGTTCTCATCTAATTTGGTGCATGGTTTCTGATTTCTATAGCATGGGGTTCGTGTGTGGAGTTTATATACGAATGAGTTTTGACATCTTATTAGTATTTTATATGATAATCATATTAAAATTTTAATTAATTAGTTAAAAACCGCGAGATATTATAGAGACCAATTCACACAAACAATATTTGCAAACATCTTGTCCAAATTCTTCCAAAAGGCTGAACCCCAACCCTAAACATTTTGTTCAAATTGCCTTGAGGCTAGGTTGTTAAAGTTGTGGATGTTGAGAAAAATTAGATTGCAATGATGTTTATCGTTGTGGCGTGAAAAGGCTCACTGCCTTTTAGAAGAATTTATCAAAGCCTAAATATAAGGTATAAAGAACGGCATTGTGCCCTAAGGCTACACAGTTATTTTATAATAACATGCACTCATTAACTACAATTGGAACGTATAGTATTAAACTACCGTTCAAATGCTAAGGAGAAAAGAATAAATAAGAAATTGGTTTCAGTTAATGATATTAAAAATGGCAGGAGAATGTCTTTATATAGTTTCTAAACATACTTTCTCAACCTAATGAAACACAAAGAGTCAACAACGCCTCCACTAAAGCTCGATCTCATGACCTCTCATATCACTACATGTCATTTGAGCACAAGGTGCTTGGCAATTAGTTTCAAACTTAATCCCGAAAAGAATTTATTCCAACAAAGTTGCAGTTGGTGATAGATATCCCATAGCTTTTATACTACAAATACTTCAATTCATCTTTTAAATGTGAAACCTCCCAGCCATTTCCTATGTTACGTTAACATATATGAAGACATCAACAGTTGCGAGATATTATTAAACTTAATATAAGATGAATATCAGCTCCCTGTTACTTCATTTAAAATATTTAAATCTTACTTAAGATGAAACTAATCTTTTTATGCAAGGTATAAGGTAATTAAAGATTTTGATATTTAATTGAGTATACTTTGTTAGGACTCTAGAATACTAGAGTTCTAGAGTCCTAACATATTTGACGGTATTGATTCTTTGTGCTTCAATAGGTTGAGAAAGTAGTTATGAACAGAATTAGTACTCAAAAAAAATATATAGATCTATTATTTACAGGCTAGCTTAGCTTATATGGTCTCGTGCAACATTTTTTTTTTTAAAAATAATTATTATTGAATATAATTATATATCTCACCTCACCAAAAGTAAGTTGAATAATGAATGTGTTTTACATTTTTTTTATGTGGTTTGCAAGTTATTATACAAGAGTGAAATTTACTTTGTGCACACTATTGGGTAGAGACTATACGTTATCCTGAACGAAATTTACTCAGTGCATACTATTGGGTAGAGACTAGGTTTCTTTCATTAGCAAATAATAATAATAATAATAATAATAATAATAATAATAATAATAATAATAATAATAATAATAATAATAATGAAGGTGTACTATATATCGTTTTTCTTTTAGAGTTTTTTTTTTAAATAAAGAAGCTAATTCATTAATCATAGGCGGGAGCGTTTACAATAAATATTAATGGAATGGTCAAACATTCCTTACAGTAAGACAATAGAAACAACTTCCCTAGCAATACTACAGAAAACTTGATTCGTAAACTATTTTACAAATTTGAAACTGAATTCTTTGGAGGAACTTAAAGCTTCTTTAATGATTTGGTCAAACGTACCCAAGACTGACACTGGTTGAATAGTCTTGCACACCGCCTGAATATCTATTTCCATTATACTATCCATTGACAATATCTCCATCGGGCTAAACTGCATATCATTGTTCAGAGGAGTCTCTTTTTCATTGTCATGTTTGTCACTCAGGATGAGATTCGCATACGTCATGACCAGTTTTATCGTTTCACGCTTTATGAAAAAAAAAAAAACTCGCCAATTAAACGAGAGGAAGAAACTCGTCAAAACAATGAGAGGAAAAATACAGAAACTGCAAACAAACGTAACCGATGACGAAGGCGGAGATGGAGGGGTGGGGCAAGGCGTAATCGATGACGAAGGCGGAGAATGGAAGAGAACACGGTGAAGGCAGAGAAGACAATGAAGGCGAACGCTCTTGCGGTGGAGATGGCAACAGGGATAAACGATCGGACGCCACCTCCGATCCACTTGCTTCACGGGGGCGGCGACCGTGTAGAAATTTGATCGATCAAAAACCGAAGACGAGAGAGAATAAGAGAAACCCTAATCTCTTAGAAACTTACAGTTTTAACTTTTTCCTTTTAGAGTTTAATAATACAGAGTTTAATTTATAAAGCACTATAAATGATTTCTAATATTTTATAGAGTTAATACAACAAATAGTCCTCTTACTATTGTGCTAATACTCTTTTTAGTTCTCAACTTTGATTCAATCAAAACACGTATCTTCACTTTTATTTTTTTTAACCACAAATAGTCCTCTATTAAAATAGGTGTTAAATCTAGAGGTATTATCGTCAAACGATGAAAACGGATTGTCTACGATAAAGATGACTGAGGACAGAATAACCGGCGATGAAGGAGAGGAGTAGAGAAAAAATCGGACGTCGCCTCTGCGAAGTAGCGGAGGCGGCGACCGTGTGTATGACTGAGCGGAGCAAGAACCCTACATCAGAGCAAGATGGAGACTTCAACCTAGTATTTAAAATGTTGAAATTTGAATATAAAATCCAGAGTAAACAGCGTGATGCATGTTTTAAGTCTTTTTACGTACTTTAGCTGTAGTCTCCATCTTGGAAATGTCTATTCATCCCATCTTTCTAAATTCAAAGTCTTGTGTAGAGTTTTTGAATGCTTTGTTATCATCTCATCATCTGCCACCCCATCATAGATTCCTGACTTGACTTGTCATGTTTCATTTTTCTACTTTGCTAAATTCTTTCTACTCTTCTTTCTTTTACTATCTCAATCCAAAACATTTCTTAACAATTTTATTCTTTTATATATATAGAGAGAGAGAAACTAATGATCAAATGCAAATAAGTTTTTAGGTTATAAAAAAAGGGTGAAATTTCAGTCATTGATCTACCCAAAATCAACAGCTTAGATGAAGATTTTTTTTATTTTATTTTTTTGTAAAAAAAGAAAAAAACGGTGGCATTATGATAATTTTGTGTAAGTTCAAAGCTTAAGGTGCGTATGTTTATAACTTAATGTGTGTACGTTTATAGCTTTAGGTGCCTAAATTTAAAGCTTAAACGGCGTAAGTTTATCGTTTAAGGTGCGTAAATTTATAGCTTAAGGTAGTATATTTAAAGCTTAAGGTGCATCTGTTTAAGTCTTAAGGTGCATCTGTTTAACTCTTTCCAACTTAAGGTGCAGAAGTTCGAAGTTTAGGGTGCATCAGTTCAAAACTTAAAGAAGAAGAACTTTATGCATAACCTAACCTAGTGCATAACCTAACATGGTTGGTTCTCATGGAGTCCTGCGGAGGGTAGTTCTCTATAGGTTAGATACTTCCAATTTTTTTTATTTTTTATTTTGGTGATAGATGTCATAAGATTGTGGATATTGATGGCATTAACATCTAGATGTATGGTGGTATTATTAAAACTTTGCATGATGTTAGACATATACCATGGTTAACTAAGAACTTGATTTCTCTTAGTAGTTTGCATGTTAATGGTTTTATTCATAGATCTTAGAGTGATAGGAAAATCATTAAAATCAGTAAGAGTGCTCTAATTGTAATGAAAGGGGAAAAGACCAGGAAACATTTATAGATTGTTGGGCAGTATTGTTGTAGGTGAAACACATTATGTTGAATCTAATGGTGATACTACTAGGTTGTGGCATTTACACTTGGTCATCTTGGTGAATGTGGCTTGTCTTAATTGAACAAAAGAAATTTGTTAAAATGGGCTAAATGGTTTAAGGTAGACTTCTGTGAGTTTTGTGTTCTTAGGAAACAGTCTAGAGTTAGTTTTTTTTTATTTACTGGGAAGCATGAAACTGAGAGGATTCTTGATTATGTGCATTCTGATGTTTGGAAACCCACTAGTGAACTTTCAATGGATCGCTTTTGGTACTATGTTACATTGACTGATGATTTTCCTAGAAAAGTTTGGGTCTATTTCTTGAAATAAAAGTATTTGAGAAATTTAAGTTGTGGAAGGTTGAGATCGAGAACTAGACTAGCAGGAATATAATAAAATTAAAAAAAAAACAAACAAACAAATACTTGAGGTTTGACAATTTAATGGGATAGAGTACATAGAGAAAGAATTCTATAAATTCTATGCAAAGCATAAAATGTAGAGGCACTATACAGTGCGTAAGCCACCACAACAGAATGGTGTTGCTAAGTGGCTTAATATGACCATTGCATAAAGAGCGAGGTGTCCCATATTGAATGCGGGACTCTCAAAGTGTTTTTGGGTAGGAGTGAACATGGCATGCTATTTGATCAATATATTACCACTGACATCACTTGGTGGCAAGGCTCCTAAGGACATTTGGCTAGGTAATCTTATGAGTCTTGATCATTTACAAGTTTTCGGTCGGCCTGACTATGTTCTTGTTCCAAGTGATAAGAGACCGAAATTAGAACCCAAGTCAAAGAAGTGTATTTTTTTGGGGTTCAAGAAAGGTATAAAATGATACAAGTTTTAAGATCATACAACGAAGAAGGTGGTGATTAAGGGAGATGTAGTGCTTGATGAGCATTTCATGCTTCATCGGGAGAAATAGGATGCACTGATTGATGGTTCTCGCATAGTAGAAGTGGATATAGATCGAGTTTCTTTGACAGGGAGAGCAGATAATCCTGTTGGAAAATAATCGCAACGTCAACGCATGACCTGGAAGCCTTTTAAGAAGCACAGACACTATGGGTGTATGGTTGAAAGGAAATCTGTGCCGTGTTATAATAACACTACCTTAAAAGCGTTTTTTGCCCGGTAACGGTACGGTGCAGTTAGAACCCTAGAACGCTTTCGACAGGCTACACAAACCTACTACGGATAGCATGCACTAGCACACTAGCAATCACGTAGGTGAACCTCACTATTGCTCAGACTTTAATAGGCAGACACGAAACTATATATATATATATATATTCTCGCACATAAGGAAGGAAGAGGCTTTTATTTTTTTGTGCTTTTAGACAAAATGTCTTGCTTCTATATATAGTGTAGGAGAGTGAGGTCATTTCTCATTTCATCCACATATTAACGAAAAGAAAGGGGAAGTGGAAAATAAAGAGATCCATGCAACCACATCTTACACCACTAATTACGGATGGATCATTGTTGACCATCCAAAGGGTGCTGCTGCTTTCAATTTCCAACAATCCCCCACACATTCAAAGTAGAAGGCTAGAATGAAATAATGTCTGAGCAATACAGATGAGTTGATCTTAATGTCAGTGTTTGAGAACTTGAACTGACACGTAGTGACACTGAGTAATTTTCTTTCCAAGAGTGATATGAATCTTGAACTCACCAGTTAGATAAATTTTGAACTCTAATGCACACACCAACTCAAAAAGCAGGTTCTACGAAAGTCAAACTCTTTGACTTCTTATGAACACCCTTACAGCACGTTTGGTTCACGGAATGAATTTTGAGGTAATAGGAATGCTATTCCATAAGGAATGGAATAGGCAAGGAATAGAATAGGAATTGTATTCTATTGTTTGGTTCACGGAAGGAATAGACTTTAGGAATTATATTACAGTGTTTGGTTGATTTAAGGAATAGAAATGAAATATGTTTTAAAAGACATAAATACCCTTATAAAAATATGTGATGGTGGCGGTGGTGATGGTGGTGGTGGCGGTGGTGATGGTGGTGCTGGGGTGGTAGGTGATGGTGGTGGTGGCGGTGGTGATGGTGGTGCTGGGAGCGACGGTGGTGGTGGCGGTGGCAGTGGTGGGGGCGACGGTGGTGGTGGTGACGGTGACGGTTGTAGTGGTGGTGGTGGGGGCGGCGACGGTTGTGGCGGTGGTGGTGGCGGTGGTGCTGCTGGGTGGTGGTTCTGGTGGCGGTGGTGGTGGTGGTGGCGATGGCGGTGGCAGTGGTGGCGGTGGCGGTGGTGGTAATGGTGGTGGCAGTGGTAGGGGCGGCAGCGACAGTTGTGGCAATGGTGGTGGTGGCAGCGGCAGCGGCGGTGGTGGTGGTGGTGGCGACGGCGATGATGGTGGTGGTGGCGGCGGCTGCGGTGATGGTGGTGGCGGCGGCAGCGATGGTGGTGGCGGCGGCGGTGGTGGTGGTGGCAGCGGCGGCGACGGTGGTGAAATAGGATAAATTTACATATATGATAAAAAAAAATTAGGATAAAGAAAGGGGTAAAAAAGGAAATAGATTCTAAAATCTATTCCTGAGCGTTCAGTAATAGGTTAATACCAGGGGGGCCCTAGTAATAGCTATTACCTTATTTGAGGTAATAGGCTATTACCAGGAATATTATTCCTGGTAATAGAAATGGTTACCAAACAACGGAATAGGCCTATTACTGGGAATGCTATGCCATTCCCGGCCTATTCCGTGAACCAAACGGGCCATTAGTATTAAAGAATGTTATGTCTGTCTCAATATAGACTTCTACCCTGTCAAAGTCTATCTCAACATAGACTTTTAACTCTGACAAGTCTTACCGCATTACAGATTTTTATGTCTTGTCAAGTCCATCTCAATATAGACTTTTAACTCTATCAAGTCTATCTTAGTATAGACCACCATCAAAGGCTTATAGAGTAGTTAAAGACATAAATCAGTTGTAAGTCTTTTCTTTCTATCATAGGCACTGTTATTTGCAATGCAAATGACAATTTGTGTATCACAATGTAGTTAAGGTGTTGGACACCCCCACAAGTGCACGGTTATCAACATGTTTCTTAGCCACTCAGCTTTTTGGGATAACCCCATTATCTTTCATAAGAGGCGGTTAGCCCTTTTCCACTCAAGTCAGGGATCTCTTTAGGTCTACCTCAAAATAGACCACCCCAATTGAGCATAAGTTCGCATGAGCACTTTTGTACTCATGTCATTATGCGGTGAATTCATTAGGTTTGTCTCAACAAAACCACCCTTCTCAAAGAGTTATGAATTCATTAAGAGCTGTAGCTCAACCTCACAAGTACACACATTGTAGGAATGACCACCTAGTGTACTATTTTGTAACTCTTTTCATGGCTTCGTTTGACCACAAAAGTGGAATTAACCCACCACGAATTCATTACCACTTTGACTTTAAGTCCTTCCAATGATTCAGCGACTAATCATCATAATTAGCCCTCAAGTAAGTTGATTCTCTTGATCAAACTTACATGCACTTTGACGAGTACTTCGTTTACTCTTAAATAATCCCTTGAGATTTTCATGCTTAACATGAAACATTCTCTTCTACCATTATTGTTGGTACCACAGAGAGACTTTTAGGAACGAAATCCTATATATAATAAAGCTATATGGTTTGGAAAATAATTAATGTTACAATTAATGCCACAACATCCTTTATTATAAAAAAAAAACACAATATTTAAAAATAAAATTGCTATATATTATATAATCATATAAAAAATATACTTTTGAAAAATAAAATAGCTATATATTATATAATCATATAGAAAATGTGTTCAATTAGAGTTTAAATTTACACATACAAAATTTGAAATTTGCTTTCCAAATGTAATTATCTTAGTTATTATTCGTATTGTGAAAATTATAATATAGATGAAATACAATTAAGAATAAATCAATGTAATTATGTAACTTCTCTCTATAAGTTTATTTGAATATGCACATAATTAGAGATTATATTAACCATACAAAATTATAATTTTAATATTAATTTTAATTTTAATTGTAATTTTGTATTCTATAAAAATAATAAATACTTGACCAATGGAAGCTCAAAAATATTATTATTTTAAATAATTTAAAATATTTTAGTTTTTCTATTTTTTATTTATATTTATAATAACATAATTTTTTCCCGTGCATCGTGCGGGTGAATTACTAGTATATATAAAGAGTTAATTGCCCCCACAATGCAACACTTACAAATATTTTTCTCAAAAGTATTTGATCTCTTACAAATATTATAGTAGCTTCGCGCTTTGCTTGATACATACTCAATAGTTGAATATATTTCAACAAACTTGGTTATCTCAACACATCTTAATTACCCTTTAAACAGGAATTATAGGTCTTTCAAGATTACTCAACCAAGAATTTAAATAATGTACATATATTATATACAAATGTTCATTGTTAGTAAGCCACTAGAAATAATGTTGTCCACATGCTACATTAAGTTGAACAACATAATCACAAGTTTCACCTCATATTCTTACAAGAAATTAATTTCATACACAAATAATATGTTCAAACTAACATTTATTAGGAAATATCTCTCAACAATGTGAATTCAAAGTTGCCACCTACACAACTTTTCCTTCACCTGAGGAGACTAAAACTCATATAAATCATTCATATGATGTAGATCAATATTATTATTACAGTACTTCAACCATTTCTATTGCAAGACTTTGATTGTTTAACAACATATGAAAGTCAACCTCATTTCAAGCGGAGATCAAGTGGCGCTCTAACTAGCCTGCATGATCAACACCCTACTTCTTAAACACTCCGAAGTTTACTTAAAAACCATCTTCCTAAACAGAGTGTTCAAGAATGATGACGTTTCCATGTTCTCATTAAATTGCAATTGAAGCCTTTGATATATGCTCTTATTTTTGTAAAATAATTTTAGTAGAAAATTTGAGCAATATCTATGTATAAATTATTTCAATCAATGTCATTAGTATTCAACATACTAAAGAAATAAGTACTACTAAGTAATCAAAATCTAGACAACTAAACTGGAATTCAGTATTAAGACAATCATACTTCATGCGAACCCTTAGAACAAGAGCAAATATAGTTACTCAAAATAACTACTTATTTGAAGAGACTCAATACTCATCTTGCTCTGTCAGATTGACTTTTGCTAGTTTTGCCCTTGTGATGGTAGCACTGGTATGCTCGGTGTCCTTCCTTTCCGCACTTGAAACACCTTCCTTTGAACTTCTTGACTTTTCTACTCCTTTTGTTGTAGACGGTTTTGACACTTTGATTTTCAGTTTCATTGGCACTGTACGTTTCTGACAGTGATTCCCAAATGACTTTTTCCAAGTCTTGTTTGACATAGATGTCGAACAAATCGTCATTCATTTGTGACAGAATGTATCCTCTGGCTGCCGCATTGTCATTTCTAAACTACATTAGAGTTACACCCGGTTATTGACCCGAAATGTAATCTGGTTCAGGACTGCTTTCTCTCGATTCTTCACCCGGAGTGTAATCAGGCTCATTGTTAGCTTTTGTAGCACCAAAATGAGAGAACACTGTTGGAGTAGGTTCAGGTGCAACTGAATATAGCACGTAAACAAACATTAATTGTTCAAAGAGGATATGCATTCTTTGAGCTCACCTACTGTAATTTTTTCCATCAAGCGCAGTGATTTTTGATAGATCGGGTATGATATAAGGTGCCATAACGCTAACGGTTAACTGTTGCTAAATAACGCTTTTAACTGTTGGAAAATAATCGCAACGTCAACGCACGATCTGGAAGCCTTTTAAGAAGCACGGATACTATGGGTGTATGGTTGAAAAGAAATCTATGCCGGGTTATAATAACACCACCTTAAAAGCGTTATTTGCCCGGTAACGGTGCAATTCAAACCCTGACACGCTTTCGACAAGCTACACAGACCTACTACGGATAGCATGCACTAGCAATCACGTAGGCGAACCTCACTATTGCTCACACTTTAATAGGCAGACAAGAAACTATATATATATATATATATATATATATTCATTATCGCACAGAAGGAATGAAGAAGGCATTTATTTTTTGTGCTTTTAGATAAAATGTCTTACTTCTATATATAGTGTAGGAGAGTGTGGTCATTTATCATTTCATCCAAAGATTAACGAAAAGAAAGGGGAAGTGGAAAATAAAGAGATCCATGCAACCACATCTTACACCACTAATTACGGATGGATCATTGTTGACCATCCAAAGGGTGCTGCTACTTTGAATTTCCAACAAATCCACCTACGATTGAGACTCGAGAAGTCGCAAATTCCACATGTCATCTGCAGGAGGTTCTAGCTTAGAGGATTTACAGGATTATTGTTTGGCTGGAGATAGACATAGGCGCACAAATGTCAAATCACATAGTAGGTATGAGTTTGGGGGTGGTCTCTTTTGCATTTTTTGTTACTAATAATGATTCAGTTACCTTTCAAGAGGTTATTTCTAGCTAGGAGAAAGATAAACAGATAGCACGTATAACTGATGAGATGGAGTCCTTGCACTAGAATCATACTTGGGAGGTAGTTCAACTTTCCCAAAGCAAGAAGGCTATATGGGCTAAGTGGTCTATACTTATATAGATAGAAGCCACCAATATTAGATTATGATGAGATTTTTTCTCTTGTTAGACATACATCAGATTAGTACCTGCTTTGGTACCCATTTAATTTGGAATTAGCATTTGGAGCATATGGATGTGAATATTGCTTTTTTGCATGGTCTATATGAATAGATTTTCATGAAACAACTTGAAGGGTTTGTTAAATTCGGAGATGAGCATCTAGTTTACAAGCTTAAGAGATCATTGTATGGGCTAAAACAAATTCCACAGATACCAGCTATTTGGTTCTTATTGTTGTGTCTATGTTAAGAGCTTTAATAATGATTCTTTTATTTTTCTATTATTGTATGTGGATGATATGTTGATTGCTACCAAGAGTATGAATGATATTATTGCATTAAAATCTTTGTTGAGTCAAGAATTTGAAATGAAAGACTTAGGTGCTGCACAAAAAATTCTTGGCATGAAAATTCGCAAAGGGCAGATGCAATACAACAATCCATATATCTTCAAAAAATGTACAATTAAAGGTTATACACTGATATTTAGTTCTGTATAACACAACACAAGAGAGGGGGAGGGCGGCGAAGAAAAAGAATTTTCTAAGCAAATATAGACACACACCTTAATTAACAAACAATAGGCAAAAGGTCATCCACACAGTTTCAACCACTGCAACCCAAACTCCCCAAAACCATTCTTCAGCTAGTCTGATGTGAGTTAACTAGAACAACAAATCGCGATGCTAATTACCTTGAGATTTTACAGTTTTCGCTTGCAGTTCGAAGTGATCACACTCCACAATCTAGGAAGAGAACGCATATAAGACAACCAAACATTGTTGCTGAATATGGACAGAACACACATCATCCCCCTACTAGACATCTTTCATGCCTTTTATCTGTAAAACGAATCATCTTATTCAGGCCTTTCTGGTGTTTTGGGCATGAAGGGCGTTATGGCTGCTGCTTTATAAATATACAATAGTTTTAGCTTTTCAGTGCTTGCTCTTAACGCTCCACTGTGATAGGCTCCTGCACCAGACTCATATCTGCCTCGTCATTTTCCTTGGGCTCAGTCTCACTTGCATGAACATCTTCAGCTTCATCAGTTACTTTGGCTACAATATTGGGCTGGGAATCAACTTCGGTTATCTCCTTGGATATGCTAGTTTTGATAGGGGAAGCTTTCTTTGTTTCGCTGGGTATGTAGGTTTTCTCAGATGGCAGCTTAGGAAGGGACTTCCGTTGAGGCTTTTTAACATCGATGAGAGATCGCCGTCTGGCAAGGTTATCCTGGGAGGGCTTCTCATCCAAGCTTAGCCTACTAGTCTGCAAGCCATTTTCATTTTTACCATCTCTGTTAGGCGATGACGTCTTTCTCCGACCAAGCTTGGGAGATTTGGCTCTCGTTGGTGGAATCTAGATCATAGAGAAATAGAACAGTAAAGCACTGGAACTCCTTGTGTTTTATTATATTATACTCTAATTAAAAACACAAAAAATAGGAGAGCTACTTTGTTGTAATTTGTAAATTAATAAAAGGAATAAGGGTCAAATAACAATATGTATGTTATGATAGGTGTATTGTCTGTCACATAACAAATTGATAGAAACTTTGCAAGGTACAAAGGTGGATAGCATAGCTGCTAAACTATTATAGATAATTGGCAGGACACAAGACATTAAAGAGTGTTGGAATCGGGTAATTGTTTGAGTTCAATAATATAACTGGTTCTGGTCTCAGAAACTTGTTAAAAGTTCACACTAATGTGGGCTCATCCACAAGAGAGAGAGAGAGAGAGAGAGAGAGAGAGAGAGAGAGAGCAAATTCACATTTACACTATTATGTTTCACCAAGGTTGCATCCTTACAGTATGGCTCTATTTGGTAGAGCTTATTTTAGAGCTTATAGCTTATTTTAAGCTACAAATAAGCTACAAGCTTTGTTTGGTAAAACATGAAGAACTTAAAATAATAGTTTATTAACTTTTTTTTTCTTTTTTAACCTTATTAACTTACAAAAATGACACAATCTACCCTTCATTAATCAAAACCTAATATCTAAATTTATCCTTTTATGTCTTTTTACACTTATCAGCTTATTCAACAACTAATTTTACCAAACACTTTAATTTCAATTAATTAGCTTATTAGCTACCTAACTTTTCAACTGTCAACTTTCAGCTAGGTGTGTCAAACAGAGCCTATGACTATGAGATGAGCAACATAGAACGGACCATCAATTACATTTTACTAAATATTCCATTAATGAACACGCCAAGAGCAAAATTCACAAAACAACAAAGAAATGAGCAATACATCCTTACCTTCTTCAGCTCAACCTTGGGTGGAGGTGGTTCCTGATAGAAGGTTGGCATTGGAGTGGCTTTGAATTTTAAGCTCTTTCTTAACATTTTAATCTCAGCTTCCTGTGATTCCTGTTTCAGAAATCAAAGGAATGTGATAAATCAAAAACATAGCTCAATAGCTGTATCAAGCCTCTGAATCTAATATACAATTAATGATGATAGATAAAACCTTAGTTTGTGCTTGCATATTACTCTCCTCCATTTCCTTAGCATGGATCTTTTCCTCGAGTTTAGTGTAAAACTGCCAGAAAAAAAAAAATGGAGGTTAGCACAAACCGAAGAACATATCAAATATCCAAAAAACGATTACTATCATTATCCTAATGCAAGAAGAAAGCTAACCTCTTTCCTTTTCTCAGCCCTCTCATTACACTTGAAACTGAAACTATAGCTTGGAAGCGTACCCGCTCTGTGAGACTTTGTATCTGCAGCAGTAGGACTTCTATAGTGTATTTAAGGTTAAACCAAAACAAAGTTTCAATGACTCGTTATACTACCAAAGTACCAAAAAGATGAATATGAACTTCTTAAAACAGAGAAAAGACCAATGTAGGTAGGATACAAAGAAGATTGACCCGTTGCTTCAGATTTCTTGGGAGGGCCCTTCTTCAGCGGTTTTAGTAGTGGTTTTTCCCTGAAGTCAGGAAATTACAGTTTGCAAACTGTTAGTAGTTATCACCAATAGACAATAGTTAAATGTAAATAGATAACATTTAAAATAAATTAAGTTGAAAAACATTTAGAAATGTACACCGGAATGGAACCCTAAAAAAGACGTACTTATGGCTCTCACGCTGTGCAACACTTGAGGAAGTTGTTGTATCAGGACGTCCACAATGCTGCTAATGAACATAGAAATGTTTTTTGATAATTTGCTGATAGTAACAATCAACTTACAAAAGAGCGCAATACCAAAGATTAAAAAGAAACCTAGGTACTAAGAAAATAAGACGTATCTAAACCAATAATGATATAGGCTTTTACCTTATCATGATTAACCTTCACTACAGTTTTCCTTTCATTAAATGATGTACTCTTTTCAATAGGAGCAGAAGGCTGTTTAGCCCTTGATGCCGAGGTGCCATTTGAAATTACAGAACTGGAAGAAATGTCCTTTCCATCTTTGCCCTTCTTTGACCCAGCAACCACAGCATGCTTGGGGTTAGAAAGTTTCACATTTTTGGGCTTGCCAGGAGCCTTTTGTAGTTTACCGCTCTTGGACTCTCCAGAAGTTTTAACTTCAGATTCCTAGAAGAATATAATACAAAGATTGTGAGTGTCAAAGAAACACAGTCAATTATTTATAAAGTGAAATGCCCAAACTTTTTACCTTAGAATCAGCACAAGAATTGCTTTCTAGAGGCACCATTGACTCATGTATGACCTCTTGGACAGAAGAGTCAATAGCTATATCATCATTCAAATTAACAGCATTCTGAAAATTCCCTTCAGCTTCCTCGATAGTGAAACTTCCATTCAGAACGCCATCAGACTGATCAACAACAATGTCTTCCCCAACAGCATGAAGTTGTTTGTCAACCCCGTTTTCACATCCCAACCCATTCTCGGCAATGCGTTTTTTATCGTTTGCATCCATCATAAACTGAAAGTTGCAAGGTGGCAACCCACTAAACTACAAGCCTAGTAAAGGAAAAGTGAGGGCCCGTTTACTAACTGGAAAATTAGAGAACAGAAGCACCAAAACTTAGAGGAGAAAACAAAATTACCATAAATGCAAGCAACGCCTAAAATACATTATTCCCTGCTACTCCTAATGTAAAATCAAGGGTGTCTAAAGTCACAAGATTCTTTGATATATATTCATCAATTCATTACACAGCAATGATGCAAAACGAAAAGGTTATGAATATGTGTGTATTCATTAATTTATTACACAACAATGAAACAAAAGTTAGAAAGAAAACACGGTTCACTGTAGGAACAAACTGCTTAATTCAACCCTATCCAAATCAACAGTATACACCATTCAATTGAAAGACATCAATTTCTAGTCAGAACATCATCAACAAACCAAGGTAAAGCCCAAATCTTCTATTCGTTATCGGCTTTCTCAGCGACCAAGCAAATCCTTTTCAACTAATAGTCCAAGTGCCACCCCACCTCTCCAAAAAGAAAATTAAGAGAAATTCCTCACACAATATGAGCAAACAAGCAAACAAACAAACAAATATGTCATCCGAACTCTGAAGTCATTGTCTTTCAACCACCACAAACAAAACCCTCACAAATTGAACTAAAATGTAAACTTCAGAAAAGATAAATTTTTTGAAAACTCAGTATACTCCAATAGATCTCCAAACCCAAGCAAAAACCCCCCACAAGAAGATCCAATCCTTTCACATTCTGAGATTCAACTTCAAACCCAAAACTAGCATTCTCCATTTTCCTCAAGTACATACGCATACATGTTAACATATACATACACAAATTATCCCAGAGAGAATGGATATACATGAACCCATTCAAATACACAGACATAGATAATTGTACCAAAATTTATAATGAATTAACTAGTCTTTGAACATAATGGACTTACCTAAAGAACCATAAATGCTCAGAAATCCATTGAATCAAGCAGGGATCTGAAAGGCCAGAGAGAGAAAGTATTACAGATGGAGAATAATGTTGAAGAAAAATGAAAAATCTGAAAGCCCAAGAGAGAAATTTGAAATGGGTATCTGTTGTTTTGCTTTCTTTACTGTGATTAAGGGGATTTAAACTGAAAAGCTCCCTCTTTCTCCTTCTGGAATCTGGATTCAACTCAAAATCAAACGAGAGGGTTTTGCGGATTGGTGTTTTTGGGTTTTTTATTTTCTTTTTTGCTTATTTGCCAGCGGTATTCAAATTCATTCCAGGTCACTGTCCGAGTGTCCGATAAGGGAGAGAGAGAAACGTGAATATACTTCCCAAATATACGGATAGGGACGGCGCACAGCGCCATACGGTGACACAAAAATTTCAAATAAATATCAAATACAAATAAATACGGAGTAATAAATAAATATATAAAACAATCATATATTTAAAATGATTTTAATAGAAAAATGCATGTCTTTCAAATTTTATTTTTTTTCAAAATAGAATTATTTAAAATTTTATTTACCAGCATATATATTATTTTTTAAGAAATTCTAAAATATCAATCAGCATTTCTTGTGCTCGATAAAAACTCAAAAAATCTTTTTTAAAACTTTTTTATTTGTATCTGGTACAAACCATATTAGTGTAAACTAACACAGTAAACTTTCCATTACTTCAAAATAAGTATTGTTAAATTTAAAAAAAAAAAAAAAAAAAAATTTAGTCATTACTTTGTCACACATCATTTTTTTGGGTAAGAAAGGAAGGGCTTCGCGCCCAAACTGAAAACTAAACAAAACTATTCTCTCTGAGTATAGAACCCCAACTTAATCACGGTGAATCCACTTATCAAGCTCTCCCAATGGGCATGACAAAAACAACATCAGATCCCAACCATTGCTACACTTTCTGGCTAGCCAATCAACAACGAACATGATTTTGTTTGCGAAGAACATGGCAGCATCTCGCTAACCAATTCATTTCCTACCAGCATCTGCATTCCGTGATCAAATTTAGCAAAGGTTCACCACCTTTTGTAAGGAATTTAAGATTTAAGATTATTGATCTATCAAACCACGGTGGCTAAGTTGCTCTAGATTATCACCTTATCATAGCCATTGCGCCAAGCCAACTTGAGATTGAGTAGAATGGCCCAAACTTCAGCAAAGTCAAAAGAAGATTAATTAAATAAAAATAAATAAAATTTAACCTAGATTTTTTTTTTTAAATGCAAAAAAATTATTTTCAAGGTTCCTTATTTGTAATCTTTGATACTCAACTTTGAATGCTATGTATATAATTTGTCTAATTAATTGATCAAAGTTCATGTTAAATTTTATATTGTATTTTTTTAATATACTTTAACATATTCATAGTATATGTTCAACAATTATACCAACTCTAATTCCGATAGGTTCGAAAACTATGACCTTCCTTATGAAAATCAATGTGTAAGTTAAGAATAATAAATATTTAATAAAATATTATGTTACTAAAGTTTACACTAACGGAATGCGGGGTTTTTAAGAAAAGTAAATGATATAATAAAGGATAAAGTAGAAAAAATAATAAAAAATACTAAAACCAAAATAATATGAACTATTCGTTTCAACAAACAATTACACTAATATTTTTTAATTCTCGGTCTAACTTCATTGGCTCTTATTAGATTTATATATATAATAGTAAATTTTTAACACTCCACCTTGTGGTATTCAACTATTTGACCATTGTTAATGAAGGCACTAGGTGTGGTGTGTGCACCTCTGTTATAACTTACACATTTGTACGTTATTTTCTATATATTAGAAAGAAAAGACTTTATTAAAGAAAGTCAATTTTATAAAATCCTTTTATACCTATTGCCCTATAACATTTTTTTTAATATTATTGACTCTATTACAATGCAGTATCTATTCAAAATTACTTTCTCAATCTATTGAAGCACAATGAGTCACCCTAAAACACATGTTACAATACTGTAAGTAAAATTATATTAGAAACTTTAATCAAGTCCTTTAATTTGTTTTTCTCCTGAATTAACTTATATTGATTTACATATACATCAAACAAAGATACAATCCCAAATTTGCAAGGATATATGTATATATATGCCAAAAAATAACAAGTATGAATGGATGGACTAGCAAGGTCTAAACCCCACTAATCTACTCTACACATCTCAGCATGGATGCAATAATAATAATAATTATATATATAATGACAAAAATACATACTATTCATGATTAGTAGAGTAGAAGGCCTCAACTTTCTGGATGGAGTATTTGAGCTCCTTCTGAATGCTCAACCTTGAAGGTGACATCACAATGTCTTTCCAAAAGGCACCTTTCTGGTAAGCTGGGTGAGGGTGGTTATAGAGGTTATGTATGCAGTCTGCATCCTCATTCAACCTCCCCACCACTTTTAGCACATTTATCTCATCTGGATCAACCAACAATGTCCTTTCCCTGTCCTTCCATCCTATCAACTTAGGTCACAACCATCCATGTTAGCATCTATATCATAATTCAAAAGCTTATATATTCTTACTTGAACAAAAATATTTCTATCAAGTAACTAGGTTGGTTGGCGTGAATGGTCGTGCCCTCTCATCCCTTAAGAGAGGTCAAGAGTTCAAATTTCAAAACTCCATCTTACATAAAAAAAATCAATATGACTAGCACTTTGCCCCTTAATTGGGCTGGTTCGGTGCAAATGAGGATTAGTCTAAGTATGGTATGTGCTTAAAGGTGCCTCCTATAGTTAGGTCTGCCCAGGACACCTCGGCAAATTATACCAGGGACCATGTTCTAACTTGCAACGTGGACCCTAGTCCAAAAATGACCTTCAGATTATGTGTATGCAGTTGATACATTCTGTATTTGCATTTAACAGTTTATGTTTCTGTAAACAAATTGAATGGACATACCATGGTAATTACAGACACACATAACATGCTAATTACAAATACATAACATGATAACTACATATACATAAACTATTAACTACAGGTACATGATATATTGATATGTTAACTGCACGCACATAACATGTTAACCAACATCTTATATGCTTGCAGTTAACATATTCTATACCTGCAATTAACAATTTATGTGTCTGTAGTTATCATATTATGTGTGTGTAATTACTATATTATATGCCTTCAATTTGATTACAGATACAAAAAGTATTAACTGATTTATTTACAGATACAAGAAGTATTAACTGAAGATACAAAATGTTTTAATTGAAAACACATAATTTTTAGACCAAGGTTCACAATGCAATATGAACCTCGGTTCATGCGTCCATGAGTCCATGACTCCATGGTATAACAATTGGGACACCTCATGGTCTAATAAAAAAAATTATTTCTATGAAGTAAAGAGTAGAAGAAGTTGTACTTTGGGAGGGCCTTCAAGAGCATTAGTGCTGTACAGTCTAGCATTGTCTACTAAGTTGCAGTATGTTGTGAATGCATTTGCAAACCTCTTGTGGGACTTTAGCTGTGAATTTACCCTCACAGCTCTTCTACACATTATAGCTCTCCTGTGCAATCAAAAAAATAAAAAACATGGTTGTTTGAATTAGGGAAACAGTAATCTCAAAAAAATTTGCTTGACCATAAGAAGTTGGTTTATTGAATACCTTACTCCTCTAATGACAGCTAAATAAGCATCACAGACAACCCCAACCAGCTCTATCCTGTAAGGCCTTCTCTTTTTAACCCCATCAACAGGGTAGGGCTCCTCCTCATCAATCCTTTCCCAGTAGTTCTCAATCACAGTTCCATCATCTTCCACCTTGTAGCCGGCTCCCATCCTATAGCGGCGGCGATGCACATTTCTAGCCATTGTTATTGTCTGCACCACAAATGGTAGCCACGAAAGCGTGCCATCCATGATCACATCTCGCCCTTCATTCAGCGCGGTTACAAGCAGAGATGATGCTGCATCCGTAGATGATTGATGCACCTGCAAAGTACATTGAGTGTTTGCATTACCACCAATAATTCCTTTGACAAAATAAGGTAAAAAATATTAAGTGTGCAAAACCTTTTTAAGTTTATTTAAACCAATGATTCATAATCATATGTTTACCAGAAGGGCTAAACATACTAAAAATGAGGGCTTTCTGGTTTCTTTTTTTTACCAATTCTGCAGTTTGAAGCATGTCATGATGGCCCCTGGAGCTGAGGGCTTTGTAGATGACATCTGATTCTTTGAAGGCATCTGCCTCTATTACAACAGCATTGGCAGCAGCCCCAACCCAGAATGGTCTACAACCAAAAATCAAGCACCCAATAATTATTGATCACTAATATTGCACTTCATGGTTTCAAGGATGTAACTTGTTTAATTTTGTTGGGATGAAGCGCTTACTACTATGCCAAAAGCTTCCAAAAGCTATAACTTTTGGCGTAGTGGTAAGGCTTGATCTTAACAAGCGGTATCAAAGCACAGGTCACGGGTTTGAGTCCCAGCACGAGTAAACTGTGCACTTAAGGCTGGCAGCGGGGGACGGAATTATTGGGTGAAGACCTGAAGGGCCAGATATAAGGAAATAAAATTGCACCTTCGCTACTTTTTTTTTTTTTTTTGAAAATGCACCTTCGCTACTTGGTATAGCAGATATGTATAATAATAATGTCATGCCAGCAAAAACCTGTTAACAATATATGATTTGGCAATGAATAAGGTGGTCATACTCTTTGAGAATGTCCTTGAGCACAGTGCTTTTCCCTGCTCCCATGCCACCACCCATGAAGAGGAGGACAGGGCTCCTATCTTTGTGAGCCATTGGTACCATCACATCTGTGCATTTTGAATCATCAGCGGCAACAAGTCCTATGGCTTTCATCTCCTCCACCAGGGTTGTGAACACTCTTGCAACCTTCAGATTCTTTGTCACCCTCTCAAATCTCTGCTCCCTTTATATATTTCCATAAAAATTAAATTTTAGCTTGCTTAGTGTAACCCGCGGGGCACTTTGCTACACATTTCCAAGGTTTCCTACATCCTTCTAGACCTATCTTGGACTTTCACATAGCTTCCCATAGTTTATAGAATTTTCTAGAAGCATGTATATAACACTAGTAGTTGTAGAGATGTATGGAATATTCTAAAACCTTAGGGTTGTGTAGAGATTTAGGGAGGGTTCTAGATATTGATTCTTAGCCATAGGATCTAGTAGATCTCCACTATCTATTAAGGAGGTGGAATGGGTATAAATACCGGGCTCATTTGTAAATAACATCTAGAACCCCTAGAATTTAAGTGCTCAAGTAATCAAGTTCCTTTCAAACCTTTCAAGTGCATTTGCCTTACTTACATTCCTAGTCATCTCATCGTCAACTTAGCATCACTTTCGAGGGTCGATCAAGGCTGACTTAGCTATTGTGAGGGAAAGAGTAGCTAAGGCTGCACGAGACGTCGTTAGAGAAAACGAGTCCGTGACATTAGTTATTGTATTGTAATGGAGTAAACTTATAAAAAAAAATAATAATAAAGAACACTAAATAAGTCAGAAATTAATACTCTATACATAACTTTACAAGTGGTGATACTATTATAGAAATCATTGTATTCAAATAATAAATGGTTATACCTATATTAGTTTTGCAAATGGAATTGAAGAACATGGATATAGAAACACACATACCTAGTAGCTGCCATGACAATGTTTTTAAGCTTCTTTTTTGGCTCACAATAGTCAGTAGCACTCAAAATCTGGAAATATGTTAGGACACAAAGTGGTTTAATTTTACTGCAAAATGATACACACATTCATAACTCTTAAAACTCATAACTGTGGATCTTGATTTAGTACCTGGCTGATCATATTAGAAGCTTGACTCCAATGAAATGCAAAATAACTAAGGATCAGTCTTTCAAGCTCTTCCACAAGCTTTATGAATAGAGAATCCGCGCCCGGTTCGTTAGCAAAGAAATTATATATTTCTTCCTCACACCCTTCTATTTTTCTTATATAATCAGAAGCTAATTTGCATAAGTTTGGGCACTCTCTCCTATCTGCAAATCCAATTTGCCTAGCTGCCACATTCAAACACAATAACATATCACACTATATATATCTTTTTTTTTAAATGTTAATTTTAAAGTACTTCTCCTATCAAGTACATGTTCATAACTCCTATGAGTATTGTTCATCAAACTTTGTGAACCTCAATTGTCAATTCAACACCAACAAAAAAACATTATCAAATAAACATGATTAAGAAAACATTAACCTCCGAAAACGAAGAGAAAGAGAAGGTTGAAACGTATCATCATTACCTACATAATGAGAAAATCTTTCAAGCTTGAGGATCTGGCCTGATTCAGAGACTTTGAGTCTTGGCTCGATTTTCAGGTCCCGGATTTTCTTGATGCGAAAATGCATGACGGCTGCAAAAATGAATCCAATGGACGAGGCTAGAAGGATCTGGGTACATGTGGGGTTTGTGCTTGAATCGCTGTCATATTCCGAGGATGAAGATCCAGCCAGGTATTTCATAAAGTGCCATGAAGATGAAGATGAAGATGATGAACATTGGAGAGGAGAGGGTGATGATGAAGCCATGTTGTTTCCCATGGTGCAATTAATTATTAATGTTGTGTTTCTGCATTCTCATCATCCAAAACACACAGGGAAGAGAGAAGGATAAAATGGCAGTGATGATCAAATGATCCAACATTCTTTTTTTGCATGCAAATATGGAGGAAATAACAGATCTTTGGTCAGCTTGCTTGTTCAGAGAGAACTTCTATCATACACTTGGTGTACGAGATCTATGAAAAATACTATCAATTTATCATACTCGGGGGGAATTTTTTTCTTTTTCTTTTTTGTAAAATTCATACCTCAATACTATTGTATATAGGATATATTATAAGTTTATAACTAACTAATAAATAAATTATGACACTTCATCAACAACTACTGATCCCTTAAGGCTTTAGATGTCAAAGAGAGTTCTCCCATAATGGTTCTTACCGAAATTAGAGTAACAAAAGTACACTATACAATATATGAATAATGTTATACACCCCTCCAAAATTCCTTATCCCCTTAATTTTCACCTTAAGACGTGACACTTTCTGGTTGGATTTTGTTGTATTTGATTACTAAGTATTTTTTATTTTTTTTAAAACATGTGGTGAGTTCAACCAATTCATGCAAATCCAATGAAGATAAATGCACCACAAAGTATTTGGAAATCCACCATTAAGTGTAGTGAGGTGTAATGTATTTTTTTTAGTGTGTGGTGCATTTTGTGATGCATTTCTACATTTCATTCTGATGCATTTATGCATACCTAATAAGAATTGACACAGAATAGCTCACCAAATATTTTCATATAATTTTAGATGTGGTAATTTCAACTATTTATATTTTAACTCCATCAAATTGAGTTAATTCTCACTATAACTCAGTTAATTTGAACAAGTTAAAAAGCTATTCAAGCCACCAATTTGCCATCTATAGATGCGATCATACGAGGGTCGTTATATCGTGCGTGCACCGCGGTCAAAACGGCGTCGTTTCTTTAAGTAAAGAAACGGCGTGCCATTAGTTTTAACGGAACGCGCATTTTTTTTTTGTATGTTAATTACCAATTGACACTACAGTATATCTAAACCGACACTGCCCCACGTATTATTTTTATATTATCAAATGAAATTACAGTTATATCAAAATGATACTGTAGTTGTGGTGAAATGAAATTGCAGTGAAATGAGTGTATATTGTACAATGAAGCTGTAATTATATCAAAATGATCATGTAGCTGTGTTTTAATAAAACTATAGTGTATATAAAATAAAATTAAATAACATTTTCACATATTTGAGTCTATAAATAGCGAATGAAACTCTAGTTATATCGAAATGAAACTATAGTTGTGTTGAACCGAAACTGCAGTGTATACAAAATGAAATTGAATAACAGAGCTACTCGGAACGACAGGAAACGGATGTCGTTTCTTTTCATTAAACAGAACGACGTCATTTTGATGCGCAGTGCATAACCGATTATGCACCACGGTGCACGATATAATTTGCCATCATATGACTGGTTGGACTAGAAATCCACTCCAATGTCGAGTATATAATATATAAATTATAAATATGCCGTCCAACTATCAGTTTAAACTTTTAGTTGAAATAGAACATATGCTTCAATTTCCAAATATAGTTACAGCTTACACACTTCAAAAGAGTTGGACCAAGATTAACAAGGACTGTAAGAGCTAACACTTATTGGCTATTTTTTATACAATTAAGATTCTGATATGTGTTGCTAAATCCTCTGATAGAAAACATCAAACTGGGTCCTTCATGGCCTAAAGAATTCAGATCATATATAGCCTTGAGAAGAACCATTATTTCTTGTTGAATCAACTTAGATTCCCTTGTAGGTAGGAGATTTTTTCTTTGCCCACCACACATAGAAAATGGAACAAATTATGAGTACTCCTGCTGCAGATCCCAGCGCGATTCCAAGAATCTTCCCGACGTGTTTCTTGTCCCGACTCTTGGAAGAATCATCTAAATTGACCACTGCAAAATCGGGTTAAACACACGAGGTCAGCTAGTGAATCCAAACATATATCTATGCATCGAAAGAGGCTTCAAGAACCTTGAGTAACGTGGATAGCGGAAACTAGAGGGCCATATGTGCTTTGAAAGGGAATGCAGCAAGTGCCCTTCCCGGCCCAGAAGAAGTGAATGTCCAACACGTTGTTTGTCACGTTCGCCTTGAATGTCTTCACCAACGCCTTTTTAGACCCCCCGGCCTCGTCTTTAACATTGAAATCTCGAAGAACTCTTTCCCCCTTCAGTTCAAATAATACGAAAGTAGATCATATATACAAAACAGCTAATGGAGTAATGGTACTAATGTACTACTTCAAAATTTGCCATACCTGAATGTAAACGTCGAAAATGCGCTTCCCAAGGCCTTTCCAAGAGTCCCGAGAATCGTCCATTTGTATCTCAGCAAAATGAAGCTCAACACTATATATGCCTTTCTTTAACCCGAGACCATAATACCTCAATGAGCTCGGAGATACCCTGGCTGTTTTGTAGAGCTCAGAGTCGAGAGTGCTTGTGATCTGAGAATCCGTCTGAGCTGTAAACTTCGGTCCGTTTGGGTTGTGAATGAATGTTCCAGAACTGCTCACCCCCCAACGATCGTTCGAGCCCACGTAGAACGATGCTGCGCCTAGTGTCTCCGAATCATCATCAAATTCAGTACCGGATACAGATTCCATTTGCTTTCCACCGCAGTCGATTGAAAATGAAGCTGCAATAAACAAAACGAATCTAGTGATCCGCTAATTCTCTTTGTTTACAGAAGACTCGATGGACAATTATAGTACTTACTTGCTGACGCTATCTCAGTGCACACCGAGTTTTTTATTAAGCAAACGCTACCAAAATTTTGCAGAGAAAGGAAAGAAGTCATAATCTATTATCAAAGTTAAACACTGTAAACATTTAATGGCATTTCAAGATTTGCTCGGATTGAATATTCCATCAATAATACACCAAACAATGTTGTAACTACAAATCCGATCTCCATATTTTATAGAATATGAAAAGCTACCAGTTATTGTCACTATAATCTAACCTGCCAAGTGACCTTTCGCTAGTGATCGAAGTGCCAACATCGTTTCTGAAAAAAGAAAAAAAAAATGTTCGCCTATTTAGATGTGCAAATATGGAGGCACCAAACGAAATGGCCATTCCCCCACCTCCACCTAGGGATGGAAACGACGCGGGGCGGGGAGTATACTCCCCCGTCCACGAAACCCCGACCCCATCCCCGTCCCTATCCCCGGCATGGAATTGAAAATTTTCCCCATCTCCGTCCCCGTCAGGGCGGGGGTCGGGGATCCCCGTCGGGGACAGGGCAAATTGCCATCCCTACCGCCATCCATAAATTCTTGAAAGTTTAGGGTTGTAGGAGTAGACTCACACTGAAATAGTTGACTTATTGGCAGGTATAGTTCCATAGATTTGATTGAATGAGATATCTCTGAGACAAGGCGAGATCAATAGGAAAAGGAAACAAGATACAAATTTAGCAGCGTTTTCTCATTAAAATCCTTCGTTTCGATCATGAAAGAGAAGAAAAGCTCAAAACATATACACAAATGTAAATTCTTCGCTAAATCGAGACAGGACATACAGAGCGATAAGCTTGGGATTTATGATGTTTGCAGGTAACTCCCCGATCAAGTTATTGCTTCCAAGATACCTGGGATGCACATGATTCATATTTAACCGAGTATACCCAATATTCAGAAAAACAAAAAAAAAAATGATATATTTTGTAAAGTCAGAAGAGATCTTACAAGTACTCTAACGAGGCAAAGTCTTTATATGAATTTGGTATTTCACCTGTCAAGTTGTTGAAGCTCAAGTCCCTTCAACAAAAAGAAACATTTACATTGTAAAATCATAAAATTCTTAGTATATGAATAAAATGAATTTGGAACAACTGGACCAAAAAAACCAATAATTAAAACCAACAAAGAAAATGAAGGTTTAGAATAAATAATCATCATTTGGAAAGGAATTTACAAGATTTTCAAATTAGAGAAGGTACTAAGCCGTTCTGGAAGTTGGCCAGTCAACCGGCAATTTCTTAACGATCTGCATGTGAAAAAGATGCAAAACTCGTTTAGTATGTTAGCTATCAAGTACCATAAAGAGAACTAAAAACCGATTTGACAAGAAAACCATCATCGTCAAAGCTTAAGTGATTGAACATGTATTGGTCATACAATATAGAAAGACTGGTCAAGTTCTCTATGAAATTCAGAGAAGAATCTCCATTACTGAGATCGCCAATTCTCCTGCGTAGAAAATGAAGAAAAGAGACAAAGGGATCAGTGCACATTAGATTATCTTGAAGATATTTCAGTATAGATGAACAGATACTACAATGTAATACAGTCAGTACTATTCAAAAAACATGAAAGGAAAAGCAAAATATTCAACATATTTGTTTGTTTGGTACTAAAAGCAATATTGCTTATTTCAAAAAAGAAAACAATATTGCTTACAAGTCATCTAGCTTCGTTAGAGCACCATAGCTGTTCGGGATAGGGCCTTCAAGAAGTGTTCCTTCCAGTCTCCTGTTGATTACAAATGGTATATCAGAATTTTGTTAATTATGACACTACTTAACATGAAAATCAAGAAACGAGAACAATAGTTTGAAGTGTTGATTATGTAAATGTCACACATAAAAAACAAGAAGTTAATTTCGGATAGATAAAATACAAAATTTAAGCATACAGGACTGTGAGATCTGTCAGACTTCCAATGAATTCAGGAAGCTTTCCCGTGAAACCATTAGCAGTTGCCCATCTGAAACCGGACAGGCAGTGCAAAAATGTAAAATCAATCCATTCCACATTAATTTCTCCAAAACTCGGAAAGAAGATCTCATAACGCTTTAGAGGATAATAGTACACAAGTGCTTACAATACTTTGAGAGATTTCAATTTTGACAGCTCTTGGGGAATCGGCCCACTCACTCCGCTGCTATCAATATACCTGAGTGATCACAAAACGCGTCAGCTAATATGCTCACACGCCCCCTCACGTGTGCGGTGGGTTCCAAGCAACACGTGGACCGTAGTCACTTACCGGTGGCGTTAGATTCAAACCATGACCTTTGGTCGGGCTCTGATACCAAATTGAAGCATGTGCTCCATCTCAACTAAAAGCCTAAGCTAATAGTTGGATTGCACATTAATGGCTATATGCTCACACAGCTCAACAGGAAAAGTAAATAAAATTGAATGGTACAAATCCGTTTTAAGCGCTGTACTGAAGGGAGAGTTGTTCTTACAGCTCTTCCAAGGTCGTTAAGTTTCCTAGTTCGGGTGGCAAGGGTCCATTCATATTGTTTGAGCCAAAACTTCTGGAAAAGATGAAAATGATTCAAATGGAAAAAACGCAATTAATACAGAGTAATAGATAGATTAATTCCTTTAATATAACAGAAAACAATATTACTTACAAACTAAGCAAACTACTGAGATTTCCCAGCTCTGGAGGAACTGGACCAGTGAAATTGTTAATGCCTAAACTCCTGATAATCGAGAAAACATAAAATTTGGTTTACTTCTTAAAATTTATATCTAGAGAAGTACTATGAAACGTTAGGAAGGAATTATACAGCCATTTCATCTTTGATAACTGCCCAATTTCAGCTGGGATTGAGCCATTCAATACATTCTGACCCAAATTCCTAAAATAATTCCACACGATCATCAGCATCAAACAAAGTCAGAAATCTCAGGATCCAAAAAGAAAACTAAATAACATAGAACTAACTTAAATAAAGGATCACTTACAAGTCCATCATTTCTTTAAGCATAAACAGTTCTTTAGGAATTTCACCAACAATATCTAAAGCATATATTTTCCTGGAAAATATGAGCAAGTGCAATTAGCACAAAAAATAACTGTTAGGATCAAGCGTTTTTCACTACGCCAAAATCTATAGCCCGTAGCAGAAAGCGCAATTTTATTTCCTTACACCGCCACATTTTGAAGAGGCAGGATGATAGATCTTAGTGTTGTACTATGCTTACTTCCCAGTGAGTTTGGCTATCTAGTTGCCATATACTACTTAAAACCAATTGGTCATAAGTATGTGGACATTAACCATTTAACCACATCCCACATCCCTCCATGGTAAGCCACAGACATCCGCACCACGTCTCGAATTGAGACGGGGCCACCATGGTAAGCCACATGCATCAGCGCCACGTCTCGAATCGAGAAGGGGCTGAACTCGGCCAACCCGGCTGACGCCCAACACAGGGTGTTGGACTTGGCCCTTCAGACCTCCACCCAACAATCCCCTAGCCACGTGGTGCTAGACTTGACTCTTCACCGACCTCTGCCCAATAATAACAAAATAAATTAGTGAATAATCAAGAGACTAACAAGTGAGTAATGTGGCAGGTAGTGGGAGAACAATCACAAGCAATCCTGGGATTAGCTTCTGATGGTGCCCAAGCAGCAGTTTTGTTGCAAGGGTCAATATTGTTGAAGTTCACTTTGCTTCTCAAATTCCAGTGATCAATTATCTTGTTAATTGCAACCACTGACCAAAAACCACTCAAAAACCTTAAGAGCATAATAATACAAAACAGATATGAAAAACAATAGAGATATTAAACCCAAATGAGCTTGTTCAGATTATATTACATTGCAATTTCATACTGTAAATTGGGCATCATTATACTGAAATTGAGTGGTGTAATGAGGAAGAGGAAAACCTTCTTTAGGGTCTGTAAATGGCTGTGCAACAACAGTGCTCAGCAGCCCAAGCACAAAGCAGGAGAAACCCAGAATCTCCATTACTGAAAAACCTTCAAAAAGTTTGTTTTTCTTTTTTGGAATTGGTTGTTGGTTGTGTGTAAGAGGAAGGCCAAAAAGCTCCTTTTAAAAGCTTGGTAGACTTGATTCTGATGGAAACATGTCAGAAAGCAACAAGCGAATGAAGCCATGGCAATCAATATTCTTGGTTTTTCCATTGTAGACCCAGTCCGGTTGACCTCACGTCATTGCACCAATAGTACTAGCAAAGCAAGAGGCAAATGGGTGATGCATGATTTTTTATTTATTTTTATCACATGGGATAGAATTATGGAAAGACAAGCTTACATAAATATCGGCCAATTTTAAATGAAGAAGTTTGTTACCATTCAGTCAATCAATACATATATTATTTTGAATTAAAAATAAAAACCATAGTCGCTATAATATATCAATTTACAAGAAAATTAGTCTATTGATGTATAATTTTCTGGAAGAAACTCGTCTTCTGACTCTAACTAACAAAGAATCACGAGGTAAATTAACTTAAATTGCACCAAATCAAATAAAAAAAGGCAATGGACAACTCGCACAAATAGATAAGAGAAAAGGTTGAGTTCAAATGTCCTTTTTGTGATTTATAAAAGAGATGAATTAGATTAGAGAAATAATTAAACACGTAACAATAATTGAGACTTGTGCAACTCTTTTGTAAGTAGAAAGTTTCACAAAATTTGAGATAGCATATTTATTTAGCGACTTTTATCTAGTCGATGGCCGACTAACAGAATCGTTTGACCATAACACACACAATGAGTAAATTGACTAATAAGAACGTAACTTATGCAATGAGTAATGCAAATTGCCTTAACCTCATGAAAAGTTCAAATCCGTTTTGCACTATCGGCATCTATACAAGAAGACTCGGTACACAAAAAGAAACAAAATTCCTAAAAATATCTCTTGAAATCCAGCCCTAATTGCCTCTCCTAAACTACAAAACTCTTCCTAAATACAATAGGAAAGCAAAGAAAATTAGGTAACAAGTTTCTTAATTCGACTTTAAGACAATTCTTAAATCTTGTGGATCCAATCCCTTTTATACCTCATTCATGCCCTTGGAAACCACCAATGCGCAGTCCAATATGAGGATAGGGGTCCAAGTAGCTCCATATAATGTGAACTAACAGGTTGCTTCTAGCCGACTGCCTGGGCGCAAGTACCATCCTCAACATCCAGTCCCCACTTTCTTGTGGCTCGTGAAGTCAACAACACAAGAAAGTAGCTAAAAACTCTGTTCGACCACCTCTCTGCAGGTTAGAAGCAGCGCAATTTTGTGCCGCGTGCTCTACCACTTCTGCCAACCAAGTACTTTTCACTTCCCCTCCCCCTTGTTATGTACTCACATCCGCTTGGCTGATTTGTTAAGCACAAATCTCCGTGTGTTGCCCACTGACATGCTCTCAATCCGAACACCTAGACTTTCATTCCTGGCTTTAAGCCATATTTATGAGCCATAAATGAGACATTAACCCCATCATTAAATGCTAGTCGCGCAGAAGTTGGAATGGCAGCCTGTTAAGCCTTCACACCTCCCTACAATGTCCCATCACGTCCTTTTGCTTTGCCATACTCGCCACATGTTCCCATATGGTGCTTCACCTTTTCGTATAAAAGCCCCCATTTCTCCTTCATTTTCCCATTCTAAACACTTAAGCATTCTTACGCACCTTTGAGCAAGCACCCGGTCGAATTTCCTACACTTAATCGTTCCCCAACCCTAGCACTCAGCTCCTCCCTTTTGCACACCCCAGGTAACTCGTCATACATTCATCTTTTACTTCTACTAGTTCCTCCTCCTCTTCTTCGTTTGCCCACGGCTCCCCCTGTACTCTGCCCATCAAGAACAGTCTACTTGGTCTAATCGACCACCCAATCGCGTCTACCTCTCACGTTCCTTCATCCACTGAGCAACCCCTTGCCTCCCCAATTGTTGTCTCTTCTGGCTCGTCTTCTCCTAGGTCGCATGTTCTTCATTTTCCCGCTGCACTGGCCGTTTGAGTAGCCTCCACCTCTTCCGCCCCAACCTCCTTAGCTCCACTTCCTCATATACCCCTTCGAGTAGTTCACCCTGATGCCCTCATCAACCATGGTCCCAACTTTTTCGAGGACGAGGACTACCCTCCTCCAAACACCTCCATCATGACCAATTGTGACCATTACTCGACAATCTTTCGGAGGTCGTTTTAGTGAAAACCTGCTTGATCCACAACCCCCTAATCAGTAGCTATGTTAGAGTCTCACACTCTCACTCTAGGCAATTCAGTTTGGTTTTCGAGTACCTCCCCCCTCTTTTTGACAAGATTTGCCAATATTTTGGCATAGTACCTGATCAGCTCCCTCCCAATTCCTTTTGGGTATTTTCTTGCTTTCTCACGCTCTGTTACCACCTCAATGTTCTGGCTACCCTTCCTTTTTTCATCCAAACTTTTCTCCGTCTCCCGAGTGGGCAAGTCATCCCCGGGTTTTGTTTCTATCTCCTAATGTGACGGCTGGCGATTCCTCGACGGGTTAGACACTTCGCTAAAAAAGTAGTAGTAATTCCTGTTTATTTGACCAACCGGTGGCTAATTCAATTTTCCCACCACCTGGCCTCGGTCTTACTACAAATTGGAGAAAACCTCCACATCGGGCGGGGAGCTGGCCGACCACAAAAACACTGGCTTGCATGTGAGGTTGATGACCAACTTGTGGGTGATCATGAACTGATCGATCTTTGGCATGGTTGCAGTAGGCGCTAGACACTAATCGGGAGGTAGAGGGTCACCTACCGCCTAGGCAACCACCTAATAATAATAAAAAAAAAAAACATCAATAGACTTAGTAGAGACAGTCTATTAGTATTACATGCATGAATGCTTTAGGAATTTAGTACTACAAGGTATGCCATTTTTCCGTGTTGTGGTTGTGCCTCTTGTGGAAACAACAATATTTAGATTTGTCAATCCTCATTGTTTTCATAGTGGGTGGGGGAGAGAGCTACATCATGTTTCACTCCTTCGCATAGGCCAGGACTTCACTAGGTCGTGCGGTCCGAGGAGTAAACACTATCGATGCCGGCAATATAAAGGGATACATTCTTGGCGGCATGCTCGGGATTGGTGGCCCGATCACCAAGGCCTGCCTGTCTACCCTGCTCTTGGGACCTCTTCACGAGGTAATTGGTTGCCTTCTTACCGGTCTTAGTGAGCTCATCCGTTCAGGGTCTCATAGTCGTGTTTTCATTCGCCTTCATTTAAGAGCATCTGGCTTCCTCGACCTCAGCGTATCAATCGACCTTTACCATCATGGCTACATAATTTTCATGCACATTTCTCTTTGAGACTTGTATATAGGTCACTATCCCTCTGGGCTTCTACAAATAAAATTAAACAACGACGAACTTATCATGTGTTCTCTACCTACCTTGGCTTACCACCATATTTAGAAATCTGTGACTCTGTGAGGGTCTTGTCAGGGATCTACTTCTGTGTAACCAAGTAAGAAAAGCGCATCTTTGTTTTTTTCCCCGTGCAAAGTAGGTTATGAATTTGACCGCAAGATAATGAAATGAAATGAATCAATCATTGCGCCTAGAAATTCGATAAAGCATTGTTGATCTACCTCGCTAAGGGTGGAGAAGAAGGCCCTACACATAATCACTTTAGATGCTCCCATGAGTATCATTGCATCCTGATAGGCTATGATAGGGTCGGGAACCCCTCAACTTTAGTAGCAGACTTGTCATCCATGTCCTCAACTTCGGCCACCTCGACTTGCCACTGTATTAAGAAATCCATGAGGAGCTCATCAGGCATCTACTATATTGTGGCCAAGTAAGAAAAATGCTTCTTGGTCTTTCTCTCCCGCAAGAAGTGGGCTATGAATTGATCACAAGATCGTGAAATGAATCAATCATTGCGCCTGGTAATTTGGTGAACCATTGCTAAGCCACCCTGCCAAGGGTAGAGAAGAGGGCCCTACACATGACCACTTTCTATGCTCCCATGGGCATCATTGCAACCTAATAGGCCATGACGTGCACCTTGCGCAAATTATGCCGTGGAAACGTGCTCACCATGCTTGGTGAACACGCTTCCAAACGACGTCGTTTTTGGCGTCGTTTAAAAAAAAAAAAAAAAAAAAACACTGTTCTATTAACGGCGTTAGGAAGGCAGTTATGATCAGACAACTCTTTGCGTTTGATTATTTCCTATTCGCAAATCGCTGAAGGCAATTGTGATCCGACATTCGCGATTCTTTCCTATTCGTGATGGAGGAGACGATGGTTCGAGGAGAAGATTCAACCGATATGATTTCTGCGATTCCAGGTTGCGTTTGATTTTATGCGTTTGATTTCGTTTGATTTATGAGATCATGGATTGTTGAAGATTTAGTTATTTTTATTGATATTTGTTCAGTATCTATGCAGTTTGAATGTTCATAATGGCCGTAAATGTGTATTAGTTCCATGTTTCTGTTATGAATTTTACAAAATGCAATTATGTATTTTCTGTTACAGAGTTATGAATTTTGATACTCTGTTCATGCATGTGATATGAATATTCATAATGTAATAGTAATATGTCCATAACATATTAACTGGTGTGTTACACTGCTTGCATATACTCAGTGAATGAAGATTGTGTTGGTGATTCAATAAGCAATGATCAAGCAGAGTTAAACATTGACATTGATGGCTCGTCTTCAAGTCCAGGTTCTTTTTATTAGTTGGTGTATCATGAATGTTGTTTCTTGTAGGTGTAGGGACTGATTCATGGTGATTATATGCAAATTGAATGTTGTGATTGGTATTAATAATCTGTTCACGTTATGAATTTACAGTTTGAGGTTATGAATTTTCCGTTATGTTATTATGAATTTTCCATATGAGGTTATGAATTTTATGTTATGAGGTTATGCATTTAATGCCATGAGTATCTATGCAACTTTGAATGCTCATAATGTCACAAATGTTATTGATATCCGGTTTTTGTTATGAACTTTCTTATATGATGTTATGAATTTTATTCTTTGTGATTATGAATGTTCTCACATGAGATTATGAATTCTATAGTGTAGCATATTACATTCATTATAGGTGAAATCCACATTCATAGTTTAGTAGTTGGTATAGGTGTGGTTATATTTTTGTTGCAATTGCAGTTGATGAAGACTTGGTGGGTGTTGTAGTAAGAAATGTTGACGAAGCTTTTGAGTTATATAATGGATATGCATACAGAGTTGGTTTTAGTGTGAGGAAAGGCCAACAACGTTATAAGGCATCTACTAAGTCAATTCAGATGAAGAGGTTCTTCTGTGCTAAGGCTGGGTATAAGCAGAAACCAAACAGTGGTGTTAAGCTTTATTCAAAGATTGATATGAGGACTGGATGTGGTGCATTTGTTCAGTTTGATGTGGGGGGTGATGGGATGTGGACAGTTACAAAACACTTGAAAGAGCACAATCACGAGTTATGTTCATTTGGCAAGAGTCATCTGCTTCGGTCGCATAGAAGAGTGGGAAACAATCAGCTTGAATATTTAAAAGACATGAAGAGTAGTGGTGTTGCATTGGCGGATAGTATGAGGTTTTTGAAACATCAGTCAGGGGGCTCTCCATTGGTTGGCTTTACCAACCGCGATGCTTACAATTCAATGGCTTCTGTGAGTTTGAAGTGTTTGGATGGATCGGATTCAAATTCTTTGGTTGAGATATTCAGGAGGAGGCAATCTAATGAGGCTGATTTCTTTTTTGATTTCGAAGTTGATTTGGATGGAAGATTGTGTAGTTTTTTTTGGAGGGATGGTCAAATGAGAAGGGATTATGAGGTGTTTGGTGATCTGTTAGTGCATGATACAACATACCGCACTAACAAATATGATATGATTTGTGGTCCTTTTGTAGGGATGAACCATCATTGCATGAATGTAATGTTTGGTTGTGGTTTTTTGATGAATGAGAGGATAGAGTCATTTGCGTGGTTGTTTAGAGCGTTTTTAAGATCCATGGATGGCAAGTGTCCACAGACTATCATGACGGATCAATGTTCAGCTATGGCTGCTGGCATTTCCATGGTGTTTCCTACATCACGCCACCGTCTTTGCATATGGCATATTGGTGAGAATTCGAAGAAGCATATTAAGGCATTGAGGAATCATAAGGATTTTCTGGATATGTTTAATTGTGTGTTGAAATACACCGAGACTGAAGCTGAATTTGAGGTTTACTGGACAAGGTATGTTATTATGAATTTACATTATATAATTTTGAATTTTCTGTCATGTCATTATGGATTTTCTGTTATGTCATTATGTATTTTCTGTTATATGATTTATGAATTTTCTAATATGAGATTATGAATTCACAGTTATACAATTCTGGATTTCCTGTTATGTCATTATGTATTTTCTGTTATGTCATTATGTATTTTCTGTTATATGATTTATGAACTTTGTAATATGAGATTATGAATTCACAGTATTCAATTATGTATTTTCTGTTATGTCATTATGTATTTTCTGTTACATGATTATGAACTTTGTAATATGAGATTATGAATTTTCAGAATATGAGTAATAAACATGTGTTTTAACCTTTTCAGGATGGTTACAAAATATAATTGTCATAAGAATACATGGCTAGAGAAGCTTTATGACTGTAGGGAGAAGTGGTGTCCAGCGTTCAACAAGGATTATTTCTCCGGGGGTATTTTATCTTCGCAAAGGAGTGAAAGCACAAATCATGCAATTTCTAGGAGGCTGTCCAAGACTGCTGGTTTATGTGATTTTTATTCATCATTTGTGAGTGTTATATCTGAATGGAGAAGTAAGGAAAATGGCGAGGATTTCCGGTGTTCTCAAGGAGTACCCGCCATGATGTTGGATCATGTGAAACTCCTTTCACATGCTAGAGAGGTTTATACAATTGAGATATATTTTTTGTTCGAGGAACAATTTATGAAAGGTAGCTCTTGTTATCAAGAAATGGTGTTGAACGATGGTTGTAAGTGCAAGTATCACGTGTGGCGACCAGACATAGATATCATAAGGCATGAAGTAACCTTTAAGGCAATCAATTTGGATATATGTTGTAGTTGCAAGCTGTTTTCAGAATTGGGAATACTTTGCTGCCACTGCTTACGTATACTTCATGTGCACTGTGTTTCCAGTATTCTCGATAAATACATTCTAAAAAGATGGACTAAAAAGGCTGTTGAGCGTACAAACGTGGACATTGCATCTGTGTTTTATAATGGTGGTGTCCCTTCTTCAATTTGGGCTGTTGAGATTAGTAGGAAATTTCAAAGGCTTATTGTTTCTAGCCAAGATAACAGTGTTGCTAGACAATTATGTGATGAAGCCGTTGAGAATGCAAGGAAAAAACATTGAAGCTGAGATTGGGGATGTGAACACTGAGGAGGGTGCTGTGTCTTCGTCAAGTGGTATTGTCCAAGACCCCTCAAGCCGGAGGGGTAAAGGTGTGAGAAATAAAAGGAGTAGTAGTGTTATTGAGAAGAAGTACAATGCAGCAAGGGGAAGAAAGAGCGCTGCAAACAAGCTTGCTTCAATTACAAAGGGCTCTGTCCAATCATTGGTCTTGGAAAATATTTCAGAGATTGCTCGTGATGGATATCTTGTACATCCAAGCACCGGGGGTTCACAATTTGTTCATTTTAATAAGAATGTAGACCACGATGTAGCTATAGACTGAGATCATGTTAACAGTATGTACTTATGAATTTTATGATTTTTAGATATAGGTTGAGAATTATGTGTCAGATTATGAATTTTCCTTTGCCAGTTTATGAACTTTCATTTACCAGTTTATGAACTTTCATTTACCAGTTTATGAACTTTCCTTTACCAGTTTATGAATTTTCCTCTATGTGATTATAAATTTTCCTCTATGTCTCAGATTATGAATCTTCCTTTATCTGATTATGAATTTTCCTTTATGTGATTATGAATTTTCCTATATGTGATTATGAATTTAGAGTATGTGCTTATGTATTTTATGCTATTCAGATTTTATGAGAATTATGTGCCAGATTATGATTTTTCCGTTGCCAGTTTATGAACTTTCATTTACCAGTTTATGAACTTTCCCTTACCAGTTTATGAATTTTCCTCTATGTGATTATGAATTTTCCTCTATGTCTCAGATTATGAATCTTCCTTTATCTGATTATGAATCTTCCTTTATGTGATTATGAATTTTCCTATATGTGATTATGAATTTAGAGTATGTGCTTATGTATTTTATGCTATTCAGATTTTATGAGAATTATGTGTCAGATTATGAATTTTCCTTTTGCCATTTTATGAACTTTCATTTACCAGTTTATGAACTTTCCTTTACCAGTTTATGAATTTCCTCTATGTGATTATGAAGTTTCCTCTATGTCTCAGTTTATGAATCTTCCTTTATCTGATTATGAATTTTCCTTTATGTGATTATGAATTTTCCCATATGTGATTATGAATTTAGAGTACGTGCTTATGTATTTTATGCTATTCAGATTTTATGAGAATTATGTGTCAGATTATGAATTTTCCGTTATTTGATTATGGATGTTACTTTATGTGATTATGAATTTTCCTTGTTGTCATTATGAATGTTATTTTAATCTATGTAACAATGAATTTCAGAAGAAAAGTCATAATATAATATCAGAAAGTTCATAACACAATTTCATATTCTAATTAGTTTACCTATCAATATCGTCGAGGGTAGCAGGTAGTGTAGCAGCAGGCGTAGAAGTATTAGCAGCATCAGGGACATCTCTGGCGAATGGAACCTTGATCAATGGAGTTATTTCTCGTCTTTCAGAACTTGATGTAGCAGGGGTAGCAGCATATGCTTCAGAAGATGAAGCAGTAGGGGTAGCAGCAGTGGTAGGAACATGCGTAGGAGCAGGGAAAGCAGCAGGGGAAGAAACAGCTGTTAGCACCAAGCGTATCAGCAGGGGTTGTAGCAGGGATAGCGGTAGGAGTAGTAGAGAGTGTAGCAGCATCAGCAGCACCGGGAGTGTCTTTCACAATGTTCTCAACAAGGGCATCCAATTCATCTTCATCCATTGCACTTTGCTCACGTGGTTCATCAACCAATGGTGCGGGGTATAAGAGATCCCTAAATCAAATGAGGGAGGGTCAATCTCCATTTGCCGATTGGTCTTATGGAAGGCTTCAACCAAGCATCAACAGCCTTTGTGAAAAGACTCTTGGCCAAAGAAGATGTCGTCTAGTTGAGAGGAGTTGGAGTTGGTGGTCTTTCTATTGTGCTTGCAACGCCAATCATGGTGGAAATTCCAGAAAATGCGGCCTTCATAACATCCACCGGTGCGTTTTGTCTGCCAACTTCAGCCATAGCCTCACCGAATTCCAAAGACATCAGCAGCAAGGCGTTGTAGAACCCGCGTGACCCTATCAACACTAGACGGCGGCACAGAGATGGTTGGGACTGGTTGGGCGGAAGTAGAAGCGATACAATCAGCAGTAGGCTTTGCAATACGAGGGATAACTTTCCCTTTACCATATCCGCCCGACCTTTTCTCAGCGGAAACCCTTTGCCGTGCAAGTTTACTTGTCCATGCAGTAATGCTTGGATATGTTCTTTGAATGCTCATTCCTTTGAATTGGACCCGATCAAAGTAGAATAGCTACAATGTTGAACAAAAAGGTAAAATAAAAAAGTTATAATCACAGAATTCATAATTACACTACAGAAAATTCATAATATCATAATAGAAAATTCATAATCCATATGAACATTATATTCAACTATCATATTATGGATTTTATGTTATGCAATTAATGAACTTTCTATTATGAGATTCAATTATTGCATAATACTATAAGAACATTCATAATGATAACAAGGAAAATTCATAATTACATAAAGGAACATTCATAATCACATAAAGGAAGATTCATAATCAGATAAAGGAAGATTCATAATCTGAGACATAGAGGAAAATTCATAATCACATAGAGGAAAATTCATAAACTGGTAAAGGAAAGTTCATAAACTGGTAAATGAAAGTTCATAAACTGGCAAAGGAAAATTTCATAATCTGACACATAATTCTCATAAAATCTGAATAGCATAAAATACATAAGCACATACTCTAAATTCATAATCACATATAGGAAAACTCATAATCACATAAAGGAAAATTCATAATCAGATAAAGGAAGATTCATAATCTGAGACATAGAGGAAAGTTCATAATCACATAGAGAAAAATTCATAATCACATAGAGGAAAATTCATAATCTAACACATATAATCTACAATCTGAATATCATAAGATTCATAAGTGGAGCTAGAGCTTACCAATATGAATGTCATTGGTCCAGTAAAGAAGCTATTACTTTTCTTCCTGTACTGCTCGATGGACTTGATCAGAGAGTTGTAGGTGTAGCCACACCAGTTGTACTCCTTTATCTCATCAACATTAATCAAGGAGTTGAGGATTCTGTTGTTGCAGTAGCGGTTCTGAAATCCCCTCATCATGCACGAAACAGTCAAGACCATGAAGTCTCTCTTAAAGTCATCTCCAGAATCTCCCCTCTGAACTATGACATCTCCCATCTGGGTAGTGACTGGGAACCAAGCTTAATATTCCACCGTTCCCTCCAGCTTTTCAAGAGAGCCCTGTATTCTGGTGTCCCCTGTTCATCATATTTTGGGGCCTCAACAACCTTCTTTTCTCCTCTTGGAATGCCAAGAGTGTACTCAACGTCCTCTTCATCAACTGTGAGCTTGTCGTTCTCCAGCTTGAAATGTGTTTGGAAAACCTCAAAGTTGGCTATCAAATACTGAACTAATTGTGACTCATTTGCGCACAATTGAAGGTCCAACAGGGCTCCAAATCCAATATCACGGACAGCTTGTTTTTGTTCTGGCAGTAGTTGTTGTACAAGCCTAAACATGGTCTTTGGTCCCATCCGTGTGCTGAAGTAGGGAGTAGAACTCCCCTCTGCACAATCACCTCCAATGTCTGTGTTGCCCCTATGTCTGTCATTTATTTGCTTTGACCTCTTTTCTCTAATAACTTCTTGCTCGAGCAGGTCATCAGAGTGCTGCTGGATGGTTGAGCAGCCTGTGAGTCAAGTACAGCCCGTGTTGTTCGTTTTCTTTTGCTTTTTGTTGTAGGGTGACTGCAGTGTTGTGTTCAGCCGCCGTCTGTGAGGGTTGTGATGGTTCTGCAGCTTGAGAGCTCAAGACTGCCTTTGTTTGTGAGCGTGTTGTCCTTCGTTGAGCAGTGTCCATTGCTTTTATTAAAAACGTTAGAAAGCAAGTAACTCATATACAACATATAATATAGATTGATGGAAGGAAAATATATTCCTTATTTCAGTAGAGGGGGGATGGGAGTGCCGAATAAATCCAGCCATGCTCTACCGAAAAGAATATAATGTCCTTCAATAACAGTTACACATAATTGGTAATATAGTAACATAAAATTCATAATTTCACAAAGAAAATTCATAATACCAGAACAGAAAATTCATAACATTAGAACAGAAAGTTCATAACTGCAATATAGATCAGAATCCATAATCTCATATGAGAAAATCCATAATTCCATATTGTCCATCAATAACAGTCACATATAATTGATAGTATAGTAACATACAATTCATAATATCTCACAAAGAAAATTCATAACCTCAGGACAGAAAATTCATAACTCCAAAACAGAAAGTTCATAACTGCAACATAGAAAATTCATAACTACAGAACATAAAATTGACAACTCACAATACAGAATTCATACTCTCCTACGAGAAAATTCATAATCTCTAACAGAAAATACATAACCACATATAAGAAAGTTCATAACAGCAAAAATGTAATTTCATAGGCACAATAGAAAATTCATAATCTCACACAGAAAATACATATTTGCATGACATAAAATACATATTTGCATGACATAAAATACATAAGTGAATGGACGTTATGGACATTCAAAGCTTGCATAGAAAGTGAATAAACAGCAGTAAAAACCATATACGAATCAATTCATAATGGTTAATCTACACGTATATAATGCTACAGATATACATTTATAAGCTCATAACATTACATTCAAAACCCCATTTCAAAATTTCGAAATATGTACACAGAATACAAATACCCTAAATCATAAACACGAAAATACCTGTAATACAA